CGTTAGTATCTTCATAGCATTTATACCATCTAAAGTGAAAGTCACTCAGTCATGTCCAACTCTACACAGTCCATGGATTTCTCCAGGCCAGAATAGTGGAGTGGGTAGCCATTTCCTTCTCCAAGCTATCTTCCCAACCCAGGGGTCGAATCCAGGTCTCCCGTATTCCAGGTGGATTCTCTACTGTCTCAGCCACCAGAAAAGCCCAAGAGCACTGGAGTGGGTTGACCTATCCCTTCTTCAGCAGATTTTCCTGACCCAGGGATTGAACCAGAGTCTCCTGCTTTGCAAGTGGATTCTTTACAAGCTGAATTATCAGGGAAGATCCATACTATTTAAATATACTTTCAAAGTTATATTCTCGAACATAACATAACACTATATAGCAGTCTCCTTGTTTACTGTTTATGTCCCCCAGTAGAATATAAGCTCCAGGACAGTGGGGGCTTTGTCCTGATCTTCACTGAATCCCTCACCCAAGAACTGTGCCTGGCACACTGTAGGATCTCCATAAGCATTGGTTAAATGAAGTTCTTGATTGGAGCACTTCCCTCCCTCTTTGCTGCCACCACACTGATTCAAGCTCATCCTCCCCCACAGCTCCCAGAGTGCTCTGGGAGCTCCCCACTCCACTACAGACTTGGTAACTGATTCCACATAGGGCCAGGGGGATGCAGTGGAGAAGCTTGAGGTGACCAGTCTTTACAAGTCATGGCATGTCTCCAATCCACCCATTTTTCACAAAGCAGCCAGAGTAGCCTTCTAGAATCATAGGTCATGTCACTCCCCTGCTTAAAGTCCTCAAGGCCCAGCAGGCCCACGTTTCCAACTCCACTTCTGATCACTTCCCTTCTTGCTCTCTACTCGCCACATTCTGCTTCTGTCTCTACAACCAAAACTATCCTCAGCAGCATCCACAACTCTGTCTTCCTGAGAAATTTACAGGAACCTCAGCTCATATGCCATCTCCTCAGAGAAGCCTTCTCTGACCATCCAAACTAAAATGCAGCCCTCTTCTTCTCCTGCAACCCCAGGTACTTTCCAGCACATCATCCTGGTTATTTCCTTCACATCACTTATCACATCAGTAAAATCCTGTTTACTGATTTAACTTATTGTTTCTTTCTTTCTTACCTTCCCCTCAGCCAGCATGTACTGCAGTATTCAGAACATAGTCAAAACTCAATTAATATTTGTTGGACAGAATTGTGCTTCCACTATCATGATGGTGATTATGGTGATGCTGATGACGCTCATACAAATGATGCTCCACATGGTGAGACATTCACAAAGTAGCCAGAGTAGCCTTCTAGAATCATAGGTCATGTCACTCCCCTGCTTAAAGTCCTCAAGGCCCAGCAGGCCCACGTTTCCAACTCCACTTCTGATCACTTCCCTTCTTGCTCTCTACTCGCCACATTCTGCTTCTGTCTCTACAACCAAAACTATCCTCAGCAGCATCCACAACTCTGTCTTCCTGAGAAATTTACAGGAACCTCAGCTCATATGCCATCTCCTCAGAGAAGCCTTCTCTGACCATCCAAACTAAAATGCAGCCCTCTTCTTCTCCTGCAACCCCAGGTACTTTCCAGCACATCATCCTGGTTATTTCCTTCACATCACTTATCACATCAGTAAAATCCTGTTTACTGATTTAACTTATTGTTTCTTTCTTTCTTACCTTCCCCTCAGCCAGCATGTACTGCAGTATTCAGAACATAGTCAAAACTCAATTAATATTTGTTGGACAGAATTGTGCTTCCACTATCATGATGGTGATTATGGTGATGCTGATGACGCTCATACAAATGATGCTCCACATGGTGAGACACTGGTCTGATTTCGTAGATTCAAGGACTGACTGAAGCTTGTTCTTAACCATCTAATTAGAGACAGAATCCACTGTTACAAGCTTGGTCTGGGCTTTGAAGCTAGAATGTGTGTGTATTTGTGTGTGTGTGTGTGTGTGTGTGTGTGTGTGCTTTCTTCATACCAGAAAACTCCATAATCATCACTAGGTACCATCTACCACCTGTCTCCATGGCGACACTCATTAAAACAGGATGAGGGAGTGTCAGGTCTCCTCTATCATGCTGAATGATGGGGTGGATTGTTTTCGGGAGACAACACATATTGAGACAGGAAGTGCTCAGGTCAAGAACTTCTCTTGGGGGCTTCCCCGGTGGTCCAGTGGTTAAGAATCTACCTTGTAATGTAGCAGACACCAGTTCAATCCCTGGTCTGGGAATATCCCACATGCTGCAGGGCAACTGAGCCCTTGCCCCACAACTACTGAGCTCAGGCTCTGGAGCCCTGGGGCCACAACTACTGAAACCCATGAGAGCTACAGACTGTGCTCTGTAACAAGAGAAGCCACCACAATGAGAAGCCTGTGCAACATAAGCAGAGAGTAGCCCCGGCTGGCCACAGCTACAGAAAGACTGTGCACAGCAATAAAGACCCAGCACAGCCAAATTAAATGAACAAATATTTAAAAAAAAAAAAAAAGAACTTCTCTTAGACCCTTTAGATTTTCCTCACAGCTCCTGCACTTACTCTGCCAGGATGGGTTCTGAGGACATGCTAGGGAAAAGAGAGAATGCAGTGAACCCGACAGCTGGAGGGAGGGATTGGGGCTGACAGCCGAAGGGGCTGCAAAAGATTCTGGCCAGAAACTGAAGTAACATGACCTGTCAGTTTCAGTAACATTGGAGAAAACTTAAAAGAAAAACATAGTGGAACTCATCTCCTATTGCGCCTAAAGAAGGGACATATGTTAATGAACTTTATTTCAGAGATGGAAGAAATCTCAAACAATTGTTTTATTTTACAGATGAGTAACTTGAACCCAGAGAGGAGAAAAGACTTTCCCAGGGTCATATAGAAATTCCAAGGCTGATCTAAGACTAGAATTCTGACTACTAGTGAGAAAAACAAGTGTTTTTCTCACATGTGACATCACAAATGTAAGCCTAACGTTAAAGCTAAATTAAACTAAGCCATCCTTGTATGGCCACAGAAACTAGCAAAAGCCTGTATCCAAATTCCTATGATTCATTTCCAGCTCGCTTTCCATTTGGTCCATGGGCAGCCTATCACAAGGCAAAGGTAACACTTCCCCTTTGACTTCCAAGTTGATGCCACCAAATAAGGCACGGACCAAGGGAAGATATCTGTTGGTAGACAACAGAGTATGCACACCAGACTTAAGCAGAGAGTGAATCGTTAGATACTGAACACTCCTTGGAACCATGTCAAACCAGAAGTCACAGCTCTCACTAAAAAAAAAAAAAAAAAAAAAAANTGGGAAAACAGGACCATTCAAGCATAGGAGAATTCTCTATAGAATGGGGTAACCTCAGGGGTGTGTGTGTGTGATGGGGGGTGGGGGAGGTTAAGTCTACTACTCAAGGTTCTAAGTTACCAGTTATCTGGGAGCTCAGAAAAATGTATCTACTAAAAATACACATAAAAATAATTTGATTTATAAATAATAAACGTGGAAACAGGGATCAAAATAACAAAAGATAAGGAAATGCAAAGCACCAATCAGACCTGGAATCCAATTCTAAGTAATTACCTTGGACAAAGAGTCTAGATATTTAACCTTTCTCCCTTATCTTTACAATAAGCATAATGACGGCAATAAAAACACAGTCATCCTTTGCTGATCACTTCCTATTGGACAGATAATGAAGTAAGCATTTTACATGCTTTCTTCCATCTCAGTCCTCATCCCTATCCTATTTTGTACGCATCATTATTCCCAAGGAGAATCAAAGAGATGAAGTAATTTGCCCAAATTTATAATCAATTTGTAGAACCAAGAAGTGAACAAGTTTGAGTTTTTAATCATTATATTTCAAAGGGTGATTGTGAGGATTAAACTTAAGTTAAAATTTAAGTAAGAAAAGCAACTTGTAAAGAGCTAACTCTTCGATGGTTTGTGTCCCTTCCGGTTTTTATTCACAATCATTGTCATAATCTCCACAAAGAAGGTGCAGTAAGGCTCAATCCTCCATTGTCAACTCTCAAACCGTTTACTGCCAGTCATTAAATTCCTGATCAGCTAATTGGGGGAGGGGAGGCCAGAAGACCCTCCCCCCAAAGCTGTCCCTTCCCATTCCAGCTAGAGGACTCAGAACCTAGGAGGCATAGGGGAAGGAGTGCAAACAAGGGCACTTTTTTCTCTGGGGGTTAGTTTCCCTTTGGAAGAAGGGAGCTGAGGGGACATGGAACCACAGCAAAGGGCGCTCTGTGCAAGTGACAACTTCTCAGATCCTGTCTCTTCTTCAAAATGAGTGATAAGTAACTGCACACACTTCACAAAGATACTGAATTAAACAATTCCCCAAAAGGGCTTAGCAGAGTGCGCATGACTGTTGGTAGAATGGTTACTGAACGGTAACCATTTAGTAAATGGTACCTATTATCGTTAATTGCCATTACTATGACTATCATCATCATCCCAACTCCAGCATTCGAAGTGTCTATTAAGCCGGCGGATTTCTTCGTGAATGACTTTAATTTACAAATGTATTCACAGGCATTTTTAAAGAGCGACCCTAGAGCCCTGAACTTATAGCGCTTTCTCTGCCACACTGACCACATTTTCTCCCTCCAGGGGAAGTCTGCAACTTGCAGGACAGCCATGACAGGACCAGCAAAGACTTCCTTCCCCTTCTCTCTCCACTGCCCGCGAGGCTAGAGTTGGACTTCCGAAGCCCGCCCACATCAGTGTCCATTGGTCGCCTCATCGCTGGCGTGATTAAAGCCCCGCCCCCATCTCTCTGGGACCACTCTGAGGCCACCTCCGGAAGCGCAGGGGCCTCGGAGCAGGTCCCGCGATGCATTCTGGATTTTGTAGTACATCTGCAGGACTGTAGCCTGAGAGTGGGTCCTCGCCACTCGGGAAACTACAATCCCCAGCAGCCCGGCGGAGAGAGGGGCGGGGGGGAGGGGGCTCGCATCACGTGGGAGCCTGACTGGGAGCGGCGGCGGCGGCGGCTCAGGGCACCGGGGCCTTTTGTTTGGAGCGGCGGCGGGGGCCCCGGAGCGGCGAGGCCGGCGGCCTGCCCCTGCTTGCTCGGTCCCTGCCGCCCCTCGCGGGGGTAGGGGGCCGCCCCCTGGGCCGGGCCTAGCTTTAGGCGCCGCCGCCCCGCCCTTAGCCCGCCCAGCCCGGCCTGAGGGGAGGAACCGGCCCGGCCTCCCCGCTTGCCCCAGAGCCTCCTCTGGAGTCGCAGCTACAGCCCTCCGCGCGCCGGACCAGAGGCTACCCCTCGCCCCTCAGGCAGACGCCATGAAGATCAAGGATGCCAAGAAACCCTGTAAGATGGGGGTTTGGGTACGTCGGGTTGGGAGAGCACGTCAGGCCGCGTCTGGAAAGCCCTTGGCTGGGCGGCCTGCTTCGAAATGGGTTGCTCCCGCCGGCACCGCGCGCGGGATGGGGGCGGAGGGACGTTTTCAGCACCCGGTTCCAGGCTTTCCTCCCATCCCCCTAAGCTCTGCTGACGAGCGTTTGCCGCCCCCCTGGCCATTTCTCGCACTTCCTCCTGAGGTCCGGGAGGTGCGAGCGGGAATTTTTGTTTCGGGGTTTGGCAGGCAAGATTAGAGCTACCAGTCGGCGCTCCCAGCTTCCTCTGAAGTAAAGCTGCAAGCTGGTGTCACGGCTGTCAAATTGCGCGGGGACATTGATAACTTTTTTTAAAAAAAAATCTCTGAGCTTTTTACTTGTGTCCTTGAAATCCACGGTTCCCGGTAGTTGTCACTGTTGTTAAATTAGAGCTTTTAAACACACGTGCGTGTAACCTACCGGTCGGCGATTACCATGGCTTGCTTTTATTTAGAATGACAAATAGTTCATGGTTGTTAAAAGAGCAAAACTACTGGTATTCCCGCCACTCAGAGCAGACCTCTAAGGATGTTTTGGTGACTACTCTTATAGAGATTTTTTAAGACTATAGAGCATGTACTTAAAAATTTTTTCCCCCATATTTGAAGAGAGTATAGGTCGCTTTTATTTGCTTCCTTTTATTTTTAGACTATTTAAAACTTTTATTCCTATAAATGGCTTATTTAATCACTCAGCCATTGTCAGCCATCGTCGTACTTGAAATCCATTCTTCAGGGCCACTAGGAGTACGGGATGCATGCGTCTGTCTTAGAATTGTATTGGTATTTTGCCATTTTACAGTGTCGTGTGATTCTCCCAGCAGTTCTAGGAAATCTTTTGCTGTAAAAACGGAGCAAGATCTTGCCTTTTACCGCCCCTCCGGTTTTTTGAAAACCTCCGTGGAGAGTCAACATACCAAAGCACTCTGAAATCTGCTAATTGTCATTTAAATATGAGATAATTTAGTTTTAATTTAATGCTGAGGAAATTGAACTTACTGGGCACCAGAGTAACTTTTCCGAGGCTGCACCACCCTACTCTTTGCTAAATGAGTAGTCAGGCTCCTGACTCATAGTGCTGCGTCCTTTTTTTTTTTTTTTTTGCACCTGTAGGGCATAGTCTGAATACTTAGGGAAGCACAAACCTTTCTGATCTGGCAGTTTTATCTGTCAACTAAAACACTTTTTAAAAAAATGTTTATTTGGCCGCGCTGGGTCTTTAATTGCAGCTGGGTCTCAAGTTTCCCAACCAGGAGTTGAACTCTGGCCTGCTGCATTGGGAGTGCAGAGTCTTAGCCACTGAACCACCAGGGAAGTCCCCTAAAACATTTTTTAAACTATTATTTTTTTAAAAGAATGGTAGATAAAGAGTTCTCCTTCATCAGTGTATAAAATAGTGATGAAGGCTTTAATGACAGTAATATAGAAACACTTCTAATTTACTTTAACATTTGCTAAATTAAATGAATCTTAAACAGATGGTGTAAAGTAGAACAGTTGGACATCTTCCTTCAAAACATACGTTTTCTCAGCTTGTTTTAGAATTTCCATTTAGGAAAGTGAGTTTAACCATGACAAGCTTATATTCTGACCCTCTGGGATTTTATTTTTGCCACAACAGTTTGATTACTTAGATTGGGCAAACTTGTATTCAGGTGTGGCTACCATCTCTGTCAAAGGTGTTTCATATTTAGCAAAGATGATAATTAAGAGTTTATAAAATAAACAGGTTGAGGACTAATACCTATTTTTATGCGTTTATTTTTTTATTTTTTCTTTTCACTTTTTGTAGTGGGGTATAACCCATTGACAAAGTTGTGGTAGTTTCTGGTGTGCAGCAGGGCAGCTCGGCCATAGGTATACATGTATCCATTCTCCCCCACACCCGCCTCCCATCTAGGCTGCCGCATAACATTGAGCAGAATTCTGTGCCCTATACAGTAGATCCTTGTTGGTTATCCATTTTCTTTTTTTTTTTTCATTTATCTCTACTAGTTGGAGGCTAACCATTTCACAACATCGCAGTGGTTATCCATTTTAAATATAGCAGTGTGTATGTGTTCATCCCAAACTCCCTAGGAATCCCTCTCCCCCTTCCCTGGCAACCATAAGATCACCTAGTTTTTTAGAAGTAATTTACTTATTACTACATTGTGGTACATTGTGAGACCATTAATTATGCTAAAAAAGTCAGTTAATATGATTTAGAAGCCTGAAATAACATTTCCAGTTTCTAATATGCAGAAGATGACTTGACTGTCTGCTCAGTTCTTAACAGTAAAAAAGAACATCTTGTTTCTGTGCGGTGGTAAAGAAAGTATTTCAACTATGAACTGTTGTGGATAAATGCATACGTGTGTGTATATATGTGTGTGTGTGTGTGTGTGTATCTGGAAAGTGTTTTTTCTTTTTTTGGCCCAAGCTTCGTGACATGTGGGATCTTAGTTCCCAGACCAGGGATGGAACCCTTGCCCCCTGCATTGGGAGCTCCGAGTCTTAAGCACTGGACTGCCAGGGAAATCCTTGGACAGTATTTGTGAGGTTTCAAACCACTCAGGTTAGCTAAAGAAATATTTTGTTTTGTTTTTGAGTTCTTGTATAGGGTTTCTTTTTTTAATTATAAATTTAGTGAGCACTTTGTAAGGCACTGTGTACATGCCCTGGATCGTTTACTCCTCAGAGGAGCACTCATAACTCATACTAATAACTCATAGTATATATCTCACACTAGTTAAACAAGTGACTTTGATGTAGCACACTTTCTTAACAGTTACATAAGTGTTAGAAAACATTGCTTTTTTGATTCATCACTAATAATACACCAGCTTATAAACCACATGCATGTATTTAACCAGAAAAGAAGAAAAGGAATTCATCCTCTAGATTGTATAAGTAAAAGATGAGCATTTGAAATTGTGTATTAATTTAACTCCAGGGGAAGAATGAAGTGAAACATTAACGAAAATTTTTTGCTAAAACCAAAATGATGGCAATATTTGCTTTACCTTTACTTGTGCTCTTCACTCTACTTAAATGATAGATAATAAAAATCTCAACAGTGGTGCTTCTCTGTATCTCAGCTCGCATATCTTTTTAAGTTAGGGGTAAGCCTTTGTTTTGGTTACCTGTATGGGATGCAACATGATTAACAAGGTGATAATAAAAGTTTTATATATAAAGGAATTCCTTGGCTGTCCAGTGGTTAAAGATTCTGGACTTTCACTGCTTTGGGCCCAGGTCTGTCCCTGGTTGGGGAACTTAAGAGCCCACCTGCTGCAGGACAACTAAGCCCACACACCGCAGTGAAGAGCCAGTACAGTATATCTTCCCCCCATTTATATATGTATTATAATTTGGTGCAGTATAGGTTTGTATGCCTGCTTTGCTGATCCAGGCAGTCAGATACCTGAAGCTTCTGTCAAGACCAGAGAGAAGTATGTAGCATATGTGTGCTGTTTGCTTCTGTGTAATTTGGCCTGTTTGTAAACTGAATCACAACTTAGGAAGGATCACTTCAAACAGATGGTAAGGTGCAGTTGAAAGTGATAGTTTCTAATATCCCCTGAGATGTAACTAATTTATCAAAACGGGGGATATCTTCTGAAGCTTGTCTGAGGAATTATAATACTGAAGGTGTGAAAATGGTTTATTTTCTTAGTCTGTTTTAAAACAGCACTTTTATTTGGGATGATTCTTGAGAAGATTGAAATGCCGTTTATTCAAGAACTTGAGCCATATCTGGAATTTACTAGTGCACATGTCCAGTTTAGAATTTTGTTCCTTAAAATAATCCACTAATGTTCTGAACATTTTCAGCTTTTGCCTTCTCTTTCTGCTAAAGAACAGTTAAATCTAGTTTGGCATAGTATCCCTTTGGGCTAAAATCTGCATGGGGCCAGTCGCAATTAAATAGCTCTTTAATGCTTCTCCCCTACCCTTACCAACACTTAATGAAAGACCAAACTTTTATTTAGTTAGTTTTGGCCACACCAAGCAGCTTTTTGCTTTGCTCGGTTCCCCAACCAGGAATTGAACCCTGACCATGGCAGTGAAAGCTGGGAATCCTAACCAGTAGGCCACGAGGAAACTCCTGCACAGTTTGTTGGAAATGAACAACCTGCCCTTGTGTCTAGAATATCTTCTGTTTAATTATCTGAAAAGACATTCAGTTTTCTTCTTTTCATACATAATCTGCCTGGTAGGTAGCACTCTGCTTAAGGTGGTTCTGGGTACTTTTGTTACTTATGGGGGACTAATACAGCAGTTCTCGTGGGCTTAGGTCAGAAGTAGAGTAGAAGCTCCTGGTTTGGAGGGTCACATAAACAGATCTTGAGAGATCTAGGAAATGCTCAAAGACGAGAAGGTAATGTTTATTTGCCATTATCAGAGGAGTTATTTATATTTATAGATTGGTATTTTGTTCATTAGATGTGTATTTTGGTTCTTTTTTTTCCCCCATCTTGACAGTGGAGAGTTTTATTCCCAAGAGAATGAGAAATGCTTAGGCTATATGTAGGAAGTAGAATGCTTTTGCACTGTAACCTACTTTTAACCTGTCCCTAGGCTAGAAGCAACAAAGCTATTGATAGATTTGCCGTATTTCTTTAGAAAGTGATATTTTTCTTACCTCTTGAAACTATCAGTAGGCCTGTGGTTGTACTTAACTTTGTAGTTTTATTGCAGATAAATAAAGTTTAATTTTGTGGTCATTGTCCCTCACTTTGGTTAGTGACAAAGTAACTAGTTTGAATATTTGCTTTAATCGAAATGGCAGTTAGATCACTTACTAATGAAAGGAGTGGATCATAATTAAGAATATATATTTTCTGTGTTCTGATTGCCTCCTCCATACTTTTTGAATGGTGATTGCTTCTCTGGCATAAGGAAATAAATTCTAGAACTCTGCTGAATTGAAAGGATCCCAGTGCAGGAAAGAAGGGAGCTATCATGTTCTAGTTTGTATGTTATGGTTACTAAAACGTCATGATCTGCAATATAGCATCTCCAGTTACCCCTCCTTTAAGAGCTGACACTAATGTTTTACTTATTTAAGATGGCCTCCATTGCTAGCCACCTGACAAAACTGAGAAAATTTAGCTTCTTCAGCATCTTAGTTGTTTATACAGATCTATAGGTGACAAAAGCATAGTGCCTGTATAGAGAAATGTATAGAATCCTTTCTCATTGAACTGATGTTCCTGGTTTCTAATGGTATACTCATATCAAGTAAATATGAATGTTTAAGAAACAAAGTAGAATTTTAGAGGGAATTACTTATCCTTGACAACTTATACATAATGAACTGTAAAATACCCGCTGTTAGGCATTTTGTAATCTATGTATCTTAACTATGAAATTAGTTTTCATTCACTTTCATGATGATCAAGATCCCAGAGAAGAGAAACAGACCTTAGGGAAACAAAGGTTTTGACAGGTTAATGGTTTTTCCAGTGTCATACAGCCCAGTTAGTAAGAGTACCAAGTCCCAAATACAGATGATGCTACCTACCCAAGTGTGCCTGTCTCCAGGTAGGTTAAAACTTCAACGTTATCAACAGCTAATTTTTATTAACCAGAGGCCCTTAAAGAAGCCTAGTAAGTATAATGGGCAAAGAAAAAAGGTTCTTATTAGGAGGTTCTTTTCTCTTGGGTTACTTAACATGATTCTAAACCAATTTTATTACATTAAAATCTTTTTAGAAACATTTTCTTTTTCTTTTTTTAGAAACATTCTCAAAAGGTGATGACATTACTATTAAGACAAAATTGGTCCTATTTTTTGTTTTAATCTCCTGGAACACATGATAAATATATAATAAATGAAAAGAAATGCCTAACAGAGCAAGAATTAAAACATCCTTGGGATCCAGGAATCCTAGGTTTCAGGGTTTTTAGAAAATGCACAGAGTAACACTTTGAAGGGAAAAGGGTGAGTTGCACATAGAAGAAGTCATAAGTTGACTGAGTGCATGGTTCACAGTAAATAAAGTTTGTGGCTAATTAACTAGTTCCTAATTTGTATTTCCAAAATCAAGATAAATATTTTTATTTTTTTTCCACAGCTTTCCCATGGTTTGGCATGGACATCGGTGGAACTCTGGTAAAGCTATCATATTTTGAACCTATTGATATCACAGCAGAGGAAGAACAAGAAGAAGTTGAGAGCTTAAAAAGTATCCGGAAATATTTGACTTCTAATGTGGCATATGGATCCACTGGTATTCGGGATGTGCACCTTGAACTGAAAGATTTAACACTTTTTGGCCGGAGAGGGAACTTGCACTTTATCAGATTTCCAACCCAGGACCTGCCTACTTTTATACAAATGGGAAGAGATAAAAACTTCTCAACATTACACACGGTGCTATGTGCTACAGGAGGTGGTGCTTACAAGTTTGAAGAAGATTTCCGCACAGTAGGTATTTCACTCAGAGGCAAAGATTGATATCTATTCTCTTAAATTTTTAAAATATGAGGCTTGGTTTCTGTTTGGTATGTTCCTTAGACTGGTTCTCTGTGCTGATACAGAGGAAGTATATATTCTTGACTTGCCCTTTTTTTTTAAAAAAACATGCCATTAGGATATTTGGTTCACAGTGTTGTGTTGGTCTCTGCCATGCGTCAGCATGGATTAGCCTAGGTACACACACATCCACTCCCCCGGAGCCTCCCTGCCAGCCCTCTAAATGTCGCAGGGCACCAGGCTGCGCTCCTTACAGCACATCCTGTTGGCTGGCTGTTTTACATTGGCATGGCAAAGAGTCCGCCTTCCAGTGGAGGTGAGGCAAGAGGTATGGGTTCAGTCCCTGGGTTGGGAAGATCCCCTGGGGTAAGAAATGGCAACCCACTCCAGTATTCTTGCCTGGAAAATCCCAGGGACAGGAACCTGGCAGGTTATGGTCCGTAGAGCTGCAAAAAGTCAGAGATGACAGCACACACACAGTGCACATGTTCCAGTGGAGTGCGCTCAGTTCGTCCCACCCTCTGTTCCCCAGCTGTGGACACAAGTGTGTTCTCTATATCTGTGTCTATGTTGCTACCCTGCAGATAGAGACATCAGTACCATTTTTCTCAATTCCATATATATGCGTTAATATATGATATTTGTCTTTCTCTTTTTGACTTAGTTCACTCTGTAAAACAGGCTCTAGGTTCATCTACCTCACTCAGTTCAGTTCAGTCGCTCAGTTGTGTCCGACTCTTTGCGACCCCATGAAGCGCAGCACGCCAGGCCTCCCTGTCCATCACCAACTCCCGGAGGCCACCCAAACCCATGTCCATTGAGTCGGTGGTGCCATCCAACCATCTCATCCTCTGTCATCCCCTTCTCCTCTGGCCCTCAATCTTTCCCAGCATCAGGTCTTTTCAAATGAGTCAGCTCTTTGCATCAGGTGGCCAAAGTATTAGAGTTTCAGTTTCAACATCAGTCATTCCAATGAACACCCAGGACTGATCTCCTTTAGGATGGACTGGTTGGATCTCCTTGCAGTCCAAGGGACTCTCAAGAGTCTTCTGCAACACCACAGTTCAAAAGCATNTTGGCACTCAGCTTTCTTTATAGCCCAACTCTCACATCCATACATGACTACTGGAAAAACCATAGCTTTGACTAGATGGACCTTTGTTGGCAAGGTAATGCCTCTGCTTTTTAATATGCTGTCTAGGTTGGTCATAATGTTCCTTCCAAGGAGTAAATGTCTTTTAATTTCATGGCTGCAGTAACCATCTGCAGTGATTTTGGAGCCCCAAAAAATAAAGTCAGACACTGTTTCCCCATCAATTTGCCACGAAGTGATGGAACCAGATGCCATGATCTTAGTTTTCTGAATGTTGAGCTTTAAGCCAGCTTTTTCACTCTCCTCTTTCACGTTCATCAAGAGGCTCTTTAGTTCTTCTTCACTTTCTGCCATAGGGTGGTGTCATCTGCTTATCTGAGGTTACTGATATTTCTCCCGGCAATCTTGATTCCAGCTTGTGCTTCCTCCACTGATCAAATTCATTCTTTCTTGTGGCTGAGTAATATTCTGTTGTAAATATGTACAACTTATTTATCCATTCATCTACATGACTTAGTTTTGATTGGCGCATTTAAAAACCTTTATACCGTGAGTAAAAATTGGCCAGAGTTGGGCCTGTTATACATAATATTTGGTAAACCATGCTAAACTTAGGAACTGCTACAAAGTTACAGTAAAGGTAGACTCCAGTGAATTTGGTAGTGTGCAAAGCCAGATATAAATGGGGCTTGAAATATTTTCATATTCTGTGTTTGCTTGGTTTTTTGAGTATTAATCTAATCATCTCTCCTAAGGACACTCATCTTCCCAGACTCCAACTGAAGTTTGTATGTTTTGATTAATAGACACCTGAATGAAGTTCCTATTACCCCCTTTTTTCTTGTGTTTTATATCATCAATCCCACCACATTCCAGTCTTGAAGGGAGGGGGGTCATTTGGATGTGGCAAGAGGATTATGCAAGCAGTGATTTTTGTGCTAGTGGGGGTTTGCCAAGCTTCCACTCCTTCCCATTAGGACAAAGATTAAAAAGTTGATACTTGGATTTACTGAAATTTGTTTTTCTTGAAAATATGCATGCTGCTGCTGCTTCAGTCGCTTCAGTGTCTGACTCTGTGCAACCCCATAGATGGCAGCCCACCAGGTTCCCCCATCCCTAGGATTCTCCAGGCAAGAACACTGGAGTGGGTTGCCATTTCCTTCTCCAATGCATGAAAGTGAAAAATGAAAGAGGACCATTTAAATATGCATGTGAATTTCTCAAATTCATGTAAGAAAAATCTATTAATAGAGTATAAGTATATGGCTCACAGAAGTGAATACCTTGTAATTTGGGGTAGCTTAAAAGTCTATAAATTTTTACTAAAAATTTTTATGATGAGTAGTACTGACTTGTATTCAGTTTATTGAGTAATCTGACCATAAATTTCATGAATTTGAAACCAGTTTGTTTGGATGTGTGATACTTAATGGTTGCCAGTATTCTTGCCAAAAGGAGTGTCCTTGAAGCCACCTCTTGTCAAGCCATTGGAAATGCTGGTATTCAAATTACAGAGTTCTAATTTTTCTTAAAAGAAATATTAGTATTTTCTAGTGATGAGGTTTTATAATATTTGTTTTTGTTGGTGTTCAGTCATTTACTAAGCTAATATTTGAGCATCTAGTATTTGTTAGGTTATTGTGCTAGACACTGAGAACTCAGCTAGGAATAAGACACGGACTAGGCTGTCAAAGAGTACAGTTTCCTAGACCACATGGTTAAGTGAATTACAAATGGAAGTATAGTGCATTATAATTAATAGTATTGCTATGAAAAGAGATGCCATTCAAACTCAAGGAGGATACCTGATAAGTCCTTAGAGAATGGGAAAGCATTATCAAAGCTGAGATCTTTTATAGCAAATATAATCTACCCTTTACTAACCAAAAGTGAATTTAATAATTTCACATTAGTACCGAAACTATAATATAAAGATAGGAAATTAAGGTATAACTGATTAATGTTGTATATCAGTAAATAGAAGTAGGTAGATTCTCTGGTAGGGTCACCAGGAGGGCATAGTGAAGCAGTTAGGTTTAGACGCTTGTGTGGACATAGATTAGGGCTTTCCAGGTGGCTCAGTGGTGAAGTATCCTGCCAGTGCAGGAGGCGCAGAAGACACAGGTTTGATCCCTGGTTTGGGAAGATCCCTTGGAGAAGCTGATGGCAACCCACTCCAGTATTCTTACCTGGAAAATCCCCTGGATAGAGGAGCCTGGCGGGCTGTAGTCCATGCCATCGCAAAGAGCTGGAGAGGACTGAGCAGCTGAGCACTCGCTCACGCGTGCACATAGATTGATCTTAATTTCTGAAGCCACACGTGTTTCACTGGAGAATCAACTATGTCAGTGGTGTTGCTTTTGTGATATAACTCTCCAGGATGCTAAACAACACAAGGGAAAGTTTCAAACAAAAGTGCAACACTTCCTTAGTTTATATGATGGTTTCATTCCTTGCAAATTTAGGATGTATTTAAAACCGTGTAAAAAATACCTTGTATTTATACACATAGTTAAAACACTTGTTTACATAGGCTCAGTCTATTAAAAACATTTTCCTACTACTGTCTAAACAAAAATATCTGTCAGAATGTTCAAAGATAATGCAGAAAAAGGGTTAATTCTTTGTTTTGCAAAGTGCCCACCCACTCCAGATATCTGGTACCCCACCCAAGTAACTGCCTACTCCTCCCCATCTTGGTGAAAACTAAAATATCCCCACAGATTTCCAGAATGTCTCTAGAAGAAATACTACCACTCTTGAGAACCACTGTATTAAATGAAGCCCCTGAGAGATTTTGGGGCTTCAAAATCTCTTACAAAAGAAAGCAATAAAAACAAAGGGGTTGTAGCTGGTTTTGAAGTTTTGTGGAGTACATGAAAATTATATAGTTAAGTATTTTGAATGCTATTCTTTGTTCACTTTATAAAGCTGCTTTTGGGGTTTGTTCACAGATTGGAAACCTCCACCTGCACAAGCTGGATGAACTTGACTGCCTTGTGAAGGGCTTGCTGTATATAGATTCTGTCAGTTTCAATGGACAAGCAGAGTGCTATTATTTTGCCAATGCCTCAGAACCTGAGAGGTGCCAAAAGATGCCTTTTAACCTGGATGATCCCTATCCGCTCCTGGTAGTGAACATTGGTTCGGGAGTCAGTATTTTAGCAGTCCATTCCAAAGACAGCTATAAACGAGTAACCGGAACAAGGTGGTAGCATTTTTATTCTTAGAGCAGCATTCATATTGTTTTATTCTTACAAATTGTGAAGTCTTTATATACATATGGTAGCTTCATCAGAAAAAGTGTATTGTGCAATAGCTAAAAATGTAGATATGTAAGTAAAAGTTACAGTGTTGCAGATAGTACTGTTTTATAAGGCATGTGTGTAGACTCAAACTAAAATCATGAGATGTTTGTATTTGGTTAGTGTCAGTTGTCATTAAAATTTCCATAATGAAGTGTGACTTTTTATCTGGAATGATTCCAATAATACTTTTATTTTCCAAAACATTTTTCTCATTTTTATATAGATATATTTAAGCCTAAAGCTTACCACATGCTTATTTGATTCATATTTAAAGTACAAAGTATTTGGGGTTTCCCTGGTGGCCCAGTGGTAAAGAATCCATCTGCCAATGCAGGAAACATATGCTGCTGAGCAGCTAAGCCCATGCACACATAATTGAACCTGTGCTTTAGAGCTTGGGAGCCGCAGTCACTGAAGCCTGCACACTGGAGCCCGTGCTCTGCATCAGGAGAACTCGCCGCAGTGAAAAGCCTGCGCGCCACACCCAGAGAGTAGGCCCCGCCGTGTTGGTGCTCGTGCAGTGGCAAAGACCCAGATCTGGGTGGCCAGATGTAAATTGTTTGTTTTTCAAGTTGAAGTATTTAGCAACCTTGTAATTAATTCAACAGGCTGAATTTAACATGAGCTCTTACCTGGTGGCTCAAATAGTGAAGAATACACCTGCAGTGCAATTTAGGAGAACTAGTTCAATCCCTGGGTTGGGAAAATCCCTTGGAGAAGGGAACGGCTACCCACTCCAGTATTCTCTCCTGAAGAATTCCATGGACGAGGAGCCTGGCAGGCTACAGTTCACGGGGTCACAGAGTCGGACATGGCTGAGCAACTTTCACTTTCTTTTCTATAATACCGGAAATACAGATGTGAAATGAGACTTTTTAATTTTCCTTATGATTCTAATATGTACTTTATCAACTTTTAAGGAAACTTGAGGAAGATAGATTTTAGGATTCTTAAATTAGGTTGCTTTGTGGCAGCGAGGGTGTGGGAGGTGAGAACACTTTTATTTTTTGGCCGCTTGGTATAACATGTGAAATCTTAGCTCCTAGACCAGGGAACAAACCACGGCCCCTGCTTTGGCAGTACAGAGTCTTAACCACTGGACTGCCAGGGAAACCCCAGAAAAACTTTTAATGTCAATATATTACGCCTATTTGAATGGTACTTTAATTAGTATTTTATTTCTATGAGGACTGAAAATCTACCTCCATTGTAACTCTATGCCAAACATTTACAAGGAAGTATTACCTGCTTAAGTCAATTCAGAAAGATAGAAATTCAGTCTGTTAACTACATTCCAACAGTGATTCAGGAGTAGAACCTGTTAAAAATTCAGGTGAGACTAAAGGAGCAAAGGTTTTGATTTTAAGGATTAGAGAAACATGATTTCACTTTATGAGCATATTCAAAGAGTATTAGAATCAGGTTAATTTCTCTCTTTAAATGATCTCACTGTGTTCATTTCAGAATCATGTACATGTTTATGTATTGACTTAGAATTACAATTTTCTTTTAATTTGTGGTGCTAGCCTTTTTTTTTTTTTAACACTCCTTTTTCATGCACACAAAGAGGTGTAGTTTTAGCAGTTACAAAGTGTGAGGTATCAGGTGATGATATTAGGAGATACGAAAGGTCTCCTGTGTCATTTCTACAACAAGATTTTTTTCCTTTGGTTTATTCTTTGATCTGGCAAGTTTGGTTTGCTATGCATTTTTCTTAGGTTTAGTAAATGTTTTCTGTTCATGTGTTTAATTGAGTAAGTGAGTGCTCCATCCTTTTACATTGGAGAAAGAATACATTGTGTAACTGCAACTTAACCACATTTTGTTTGTTTTCTTTAGCCTTGGAGGGGGTACCTTTCTGGGTTTATGTAGCTTGTTGACTGGCTGTGAAAGTTTTGAAGAGGCTCTTGAAATGGCATCGAAAGGTGACAGCACACAAGCTGACAAACTCGTCCGTGATATTTACGGGGGAGATTATGAAAGATTTGGTCTGCCTGGTTGGGCTGTTGCATCTAGGTAAGTTTAACATTTACACTGTAATTAAGCTTGCTTGCTTAGTTTTTAGAAAGCAGTGTATCAGGAAGTTGTAAGGGGGCTTCCTTTTACGCAGTTCAGTTACAAGTTTTGAACATTGGTGTTGATTTCAAAATTAAATTTACATTAAGAAGTCTCCTCTCAGTGCACTATAGGAAAATGTTTTTATTCATTCTTGAGTATCCTTCCAGTGTTTCTCTTTGCAAATACAAATATATATTCTTATCTTCCTCTTATAAAAGGTAACTTTTAGAAGATAATGTTAAAATACTATTATATAGCATTTCATAGCATACTGTATACAGTTCGCTCCCCTTACCATGGTTCTGCACCTACACAATCAACCATCCTCAGATTGAAAATATGTCCTGAAAGTTGCAAAAGCAGAATTTGAATTTTCTGTGCCTAGGCAGCTATTTACATAGTGCTTATATTGTATTAAGGAATATGGAGATGATTTAAATATATATATATAGGTTATATGGAAATACTACATCATTTTGTACAAGGGACCTAAGCATCTACTGATGTTGGTGTCCAAGGAGGGTCCTGGAGCCAGTCCTTCATGGATGAAAGGGATGGCTGTATCGCCTGTAACAGCAGTATTTCCTAGTCTGTTTGCCTGTTCCCTTACCTCTCTCTCTTTTTTCCCTCTTTTTCTGCCTCCATCTTCCTCTTTGTCCTCCCTTTTCTCCCTCCCCTCCTTCCTTCTCTCTCTTTTTTATGAATAGCTTCATGGTATTTCATTGTGTGACTATCAGTTTGATGTATGTTTGGGTTGTTCCCAGTGTTTGCTATGTGCAGTTCATTGGGTCATTAACTTTGTACGTGTATACCTTATTTTGCATATGTATAGATTTATCTGTAGACTATAGTTCCAAAATGTATGAGATGTTGCTTGTTATCAGCAGATTTGATTTTGTTTTTCATTTCTCTACAGTTTTGGGAATATGATATATAAGGAGAAGCGAGAATCTGTTAGTAAAGAAGATCTAGCAAGAGCTACTTTAGTTACTATCACCAATAACATTGGTTCTATAGCACGAATGTGTGCTGTTAATGAGGTAAATTTTTTTAATTACATGAAAAATGTGAGTTGGAGTTTTCTGTACATGTAGCAGGCTTCTTCAGGATTCTTAAGGAGGCCTCTAGGATTGAGATCTCTTAATCCATTAAATCCCAAGGTACACTAATATATATGTTACCTACCCAAGGTACACTAATATATATGTTACCCACCCAGCTGTGATACTTCATTTAAAGAAAGTAGCAGATCATTCAAATCGGAAATTAGGACAAAGAGATATTTACATTTATCCAGGAACCTTTTCAGAAATATATGGCCTAAATATCTTGAAATTGTAAAACAGAGATTCCCCCTAAACAGTAAAACATTTTGAGGCAACTAAATATTGAAAGTGTGGGTGTTTTTTTTTTTTTCCTTCCTGTTAGTGTTGCATTTGATGAGTGAAGTACTTGAAAGTTTCCTTACTGCCCTCGGCTTCTTTACAGTGCTGCCTTGTTGCATATGGATCAAGCAGCATTGTACAGGGCTATGAGGGCACTGAGACCTGTTCTTCACGTGGCATTTGAATGGTGTACTCTTAGAAAAAGCATGGGCTGCTAGATTTACCTCATGATTGGGTTATTTTTATTTGAAGAAGATTGTTCAATTCTGCCTTCATGTAGTAGGTGTGTATGCCCATTTAGTTTTTGTAAATATCAAATTATGTTGTAAATGAGTTGGAAATTGTACTTTATGAAGGAATTCTTCATTTGTTCACTCTTTTGTTTATTCATTGAATAAATATTTGCAGAGTATCATTTGCCAGGTATTGTTTTGGGCACTTGAGGTAAATTAGTGAAGAAAACAAAAATCCCTGACTTTGTGAAGCTTACAGCTGTTCTAGTGATAAGTAAATAAGTAAATTGTTTAGTATTAGGTAGGAAATGCTATTTTTTTAAAAGGGAAAATTAGGGACTTTCCTGGTGGGTCAGGTAGTTAAGACTCTGAGCTTCTCTTTGCAGGGGTTGTGGGTTCAATCCCTGGTCAGGGAACTAAGATCCTACATGCCAGGTGTAGCAAAAAAAGAGAGAAAATTAAACAAATTAAAGAGAATTATGAGTAGAACACAGACTGGCAGAGGACAAATTACTAAGTAATTAGGTAGTTAAAGGAAGGCTTTGTTGAAAACGTAACTCTTAGGCAAATGTTTGAAGAAGGTGAGAGAGTCACGGGTGCAGATATTTGCGGAAAGGGAGGCTGCAGCAGAGAGGACAGCTGTGCAAAGGCTTGGATTAATCCTCTGATCAGTCTAAATTTAAAATCAGAATTCTGTCTTTTAAGTTTCTTTATAACAGTGTAGTAAGCTGATTGAGGGAACTACTAGCAGGTGTTTTAACCTAGAGTTGGGAAATAGTTCACTTCGGGGAGCTGACAGTAGTCTGGGACCTTTTTTATTAGCTCTTACAGGTCCATTTTCACTGACCAGTTAACAGTAATTAAGGCCATACACCACTGGACACCAAGTCACAGGTTCATGAAATACTGTGTTTGGTTGCTCTGTTACATCCAACTCTTGTGACCCCATGGCCTATAGCCCACCAGGCTCCTCTGTCTGTGGGATTTTCAGGCAAGAATATTGGAGTGGGTTGCCATTTCTGACCCAGGGATTAAACCCTAGTCTCCTGCATTACAGGCAGATTCTTTACCACTGAGCCATTCAGTTCAGTTAAGTTGCTCAGTCGTGTCCGACTCTTTGCGACCCCATGGACCATGGCATGCCAGGCCTCTCTGTCCATCACCAACTCCCGGAGTCCACCCAAACCTGTGTCCTTTGAGTTGGTGATGCCATCCAACCATCTCGTCCTCTGTCGTCCGCTTCTCCTGCCCTCAATCTTTCCCAGCATCAGGGTCTTTTCCAGTGAGTCAGCTCTTCGTATCAGGTGGCCAGTTATTGGAGTTTCAGCTTCAACATCAGTCCTTCCACTGAACACCCAGGACTGATCTCCTTTAGGATGGACTAGTTGGATCTCCTTGCAATCCAAGGGACTCTCAAGAGTCTTCTCCAACACCACAGTTCAAAAGCATCAATTCTTCTGTGCTCAGCCCTCTTTATAGTCCAGCTGTCACATCCATACATGACTACTGGATAAACTATAGCCTTGACTAGACAGACCTTTGTTGGCAAAGTAATGTCTCTNAGTGTAATTGTGTGGTAGTTTGAGCATTCTTTGGCATTGCCTTTCTTTGGGATTGGAATGAAAACTGACCTTTTCCAGTCCTGTGGCCACTGCTGATGTTTCCAGATTTGCTGGGATGTGAAGTGCAGCACTTTCACAGCATCACCTTTTAGGATTTGAAATAGCTCAACTGGAATTCCATCACCTCCACTACTTTGTTTGTAGTGATGCTTCCTAAGGCCCCCTTGACTTCACATTCCAGGATGTATGACTCTAGGTGAGTGATCACACTATCGTGATTATCTGGGTCATGAAGATCTTTTTTGTACGGTTCATCTGTGTATTCTTGCCACCTCTTCTTAATATCTTCTGCTTCTGTTAGGTCCATATCATTTCTGTCCTTTATTGAGCCCATCTTTGCATGAAATGTTCCCTTGGTATCTCTCATTTTCTTGAAGAGATCTCTAATCTTTCCCATTCTATTGTTTTCCTGCTTTTTTGCATTGACCACTGAGGAAGACTTTCTTATCTCCTTGCTATTCTTTGGAACTCTGCATTCAAATGGGTGTCTCTTTCCTTTTCTCTTTTGATTTTCGCTTCTCTTCTTTTCACAGCTATTTGTAAGGCCTGCTCAGACACCGTTTTGCTTTTTTCAGTTCAGTTCAGTCACTCAGTCATGTCCGACTCTTTGCGGCCCCGTGAATCACAGCATGCTAGCCCTCTTGTCCATCACCAACTCCTGGAGTTTACTCAAACTCATGTCCATCGAGTCGGTGATGTCATCTCATCCTCTGTTGCCCCCTTCTCCTCCTGCCCCAATCCCTCCGAGCATCAGGGTCTTTTCCAGTGAGGCAACTCTTCGCATGAGGTGGCCAAAGTATTGGAGTTTCAGCTTCCTCATCAGTCCTTCCAATGAAAATCCAGGACTGATCTCCTTTAGGATGGACTGGTTGGATCTCCTTGCAGTCCACGGGACTCTCAAGAGTCTTCTTCAGCACCACAGTTCAGAAGCATGAATTCTTTGGTGCTCAACTTTCTTCACAGTCCCAACTCTCATATCCATACATGACCACTGGAAAAACCATAGCCGTGACTAGATGGACCTTTGGTGGCAAAGTAATGTCTCTGCATTTTAATATGGTATCTAGGTTGGTCATAACTTTCCTTCCAAGGAGCAAGCGTCTTTTAATTTCATGGCTGCAGTCACCATCTGCAGTGATTTTGGAGCCCCAGAAACTGAAGTCTGGCACTGTTTCCACTGTCTCCCCATCTGTTTCCCATGAGGTGATGGGACCGGATGCCATGATCTGAGTTTGCTGTTTCGTATCTCTTTTCCTTGGGGGTGGCCTTGATCCCTGCCTCCTGTACAGTGTCATCAACCTCCGTCCATAGCTCAGGCACTCTGTGTCAGATACAGTCCCTTACATCTATTTCTCACTTCCACCTATAATCGTAAGAGATTTGATTTAGGTCCTACCTGAATGGTCTAGTGGTTTTCCCGTTTCTTCACTTTAAGTCTGAATTGGGCAATAAGGAGTTCATGATCTGAGCCACATCAGCTCCTGGTCTTGTTTTTGCTGACTATGTAGAGTTTGTACTGAACCATTGGGGAGCCCAATTAAGGGCATTGTTTACACTCTTCAAAAATTCAGTATGCAAGAATGTATACCCTAAATATATTACTGTGAGATTTTCTGGAAGTTCAAACATTGCTTTCTCCATCAGTGATTTTTCTGATCTTAAAGGTATGTAAGGACGAAATTAATGAGTAGAATCTTAGCAAAGAGAGTGACTTGATAGGTTAGGCTTGGTACAGAGAATGCTGGAACCCTGGGGACTGGATGACCATGCCAGTATTCCAGTCAGTGTTATCTCCAGTGCTGTAGGTAAAGTCCTCATATCATTGCTGAGCATAAACTGCAACATGCTGACCAAGTTTACATCTTTTTAAAAAAACCCTAAACACATCTGAAATACTTTTCTTTGGTTTGTCTCCTTTTTTTTTTTGGTTTTTCTCCTTTTATCTCATCAGTAATGTTTCTCCAAATTACTTTCTTTGCTAAATGTATTACTTACAGCCATTTTCAAAAACAAGTCTGTCTCTATATCATTTAGCTAGAGACTTTCCAAAACATTTCTTTTTTAATTAGGCTTTATTTTTTAGAGCAGGTTTAGGTTCACAGCAAAACAGAGTTCGCATTCATCCTTGACCCCACAGATGCACAGCCTCCCCTGCTATCAGTATCCAGCACCAGTTTGGTATGTTTGTTGCAGTTGGTGAACCTACATTGGCACCTCGCTCAGAGTACATAGTTCACTTTTGAGGTTACTCTTAGTGTACATTTTCGGAATTTTGACAAATGTAGTGACTTGTCCTGAACTAATTTTTTAAGTATTCAGGATTATGAAGGCACATACCAGGAATGTAGAAGGCACTAATAAAAGGTAGTAATTGTTTATATCTATAAATAGAGCTCTCATCTGTATTGTATTGTAAAATCTACATGATAATTCTTTTTTCAAGTTATTTTCTTTCTTTTCTTTTAGAAAATAAACAGAGTTGTCTTTGTTGGAAACTTTTTGCGTGTCAATACTCTCTCAATGAAACTTTTGGCATATGCACTGGATTATTGGTCAAAGGGTCAGCTGAAAGCATTATTTCTGGAGCATGAGGTATGATATGAAAAATCAAGTTTTGTGAATTTTAATAGCATGTTTTTGTATACAAGTTTCTTATGTTGTTCCTTGCCTGGTACTTTTAAAGTAAAGTATAAAAATGTGATTTACCTGGATGGTGTATGGTTCCCGCATTTCAGTTGGCGTTGGGGGTGGGGGTCACTGGAACCTGGCAGGCATCCCTTTAGGATGAGAATCTCACGTTGTTCTCACCAAGAGAGCAGTATCAGGGCTGTGAGCTCATTAAATTCTGGGGTTGCTTGTGTACTTAGTGGATTTGTTAAATTGTTTTGCTTTTTCTCCCTGAGAGAACATATGTTAAATATGAACAGTAAAAAATATGTATAATTTAGTAATGAAAATCTCCTTATTCCTCCCACCACAACCTCACCCCCACCTGCAGAGGTAACTTCAACCACTGTTAACATTTTTGGAGTTCATTCTTCAAGATTGTTTTTTTTTCTTTCACTATATCCAGTTAATTTCTGACCTGACCAAATATCAGTTCACAAAATGTTTTGAATTATGTAAACTTACCTTGAATTAGTTTCTGTTCAGTTAGATACTTTATTAATCATCTTCATAGTACAGATTCTGAGTATCTGTTCTGCTCTCACGAGCTTGCATGTGTCATTGCCACAGCTCTTGCTCTCCAGGGGAGAGCGGGCGTCTTGCGCAGGCCCACCGGGCGCCCTGTGCTGTGGGCGTGGCAAGCAGAGCCCCCGGAGCTTTCTTCAGGAAGAGCAAGGAGAGCACAGAATTGCAGTAATAGTCCTGGAAGCTTCAGTATCTAGAAGTCACTGTTTATGTGTTTCAAAGGTCTATATCTTGAGAATACAGGCTTTAAGAAAAATTTTTTTCAATAGCTGATAACAGATTGGTAGCTTTCTTCTTTTTTTTTTTTCCAAAGTGTATAAACGTTTATTAGAAAGTTAGGGAATTCTCTGGTGGTTCAGTGGTTAGGCTTCTGAGCTTCCATTGCATCAGGCACGGGTTTGATCCTGATCAAGGCGCTGGGATCCCACAAGCTGTGTGGAGCAGCAGCCAAGTTGTCTGCTCTTTTATCCCATAAGCGTCCATCCAGCTGCCTGTCAGCTGTTAAGATGTTTGATTACTGTCAAAAATGCCCTTGAAATCTTCAGGATAACAGAACATACACTTTTGCTTAAAACCCCTTGTTCCTTGCATTGTAGCCACTACCTTCACACCCCAAGGTAGCCATCCTTTCTGAATTGATGTTCTTAAATAGATTATACCAAATATGTGTTTTTAATAATGGGTAATAACACATGCTAATTTAAAGCTGCACTGCATGAATAATTGTTTTTAAATTATGCAGGGATATTTTGGAGCCGTCGGTGCACTTCTTGGTCTGCCAAATTTCAGCTAAAGTATCAGGTTTATCTCTGCTAATGTCATTCAAGAGGAACTGAAAACCAGAGGCATTATTACTGAGTTATTTTTCACTGGGAACCAAAGGATAAAAGAGTAGCACTCCTCCTGTTGATTTTTAAATGTCAGAATGGTAAGCTGCTAAATGTTGCCATGTTATAAAGAGAGCTCCAGTAACATGAAATATTTCTAATTGGATTGCTTTTCTTTCTGTATATAGCCAGTGTTAAATCCTTAAATGCAATACAGCCTCTGATGATTGAGCTTCCTCTCAAAAAGACTTTATTTTATGTAGCCAGCATTGCAGTCCTGTATGTTCAAAGATGAATCTTAAAGTCTCAGAAATGTTTCGCTCATGAAAATAATTGATTCTGAATGTTTGTTACAAGTCTGTTCTGTGTGTGTTTTGGTTACTAATACATGGATAGTAACATACCCTGTGTGGAAACTTATTGAAATGGCAATTAAAGATAATCATTTTTATGTGATTTTAGAAATGTTAAGGAAATATTAATTTTTCATTATTGTTTTCCAGACATATCTTCTCCCAAAAAGTGTGTTTATGTGATCTACCCCCAGAAGTATAACCTCTTTCAAATGCCATAATTTAATTGAAATACTGTTGTTAAACATTACCCGGAATTTCAGGGTGAACCCTAGGAAATGCACATAATTGGCAATACTGCATTTTTTGTATTTTGAGTTTATCAGTACATTTTAAAATGTTTTTTAATTGGAGGCTTAATTACTTACTTGAAAATCTGTTTGTTGAGGTTCCAGGATGATTCAAATGGGTTGTAGTTTATGTGTATTGGTAGGGTTCTGTTCTCTTTCTACACCACATCTATCTTAGGCCCAGAGTTAGTTAGCCATTTCTATTTAATTAGTTCTGAAGCATCAAAGCTAAAGACTTTCTTTTATGAACAGCAACAAAACATTTATTCTGAACGGATATTATGGAAATCTAAAGGACAAATGGTTTTGAAACTGGGAATCTGAGGCATTATTGCAGAATTATGAAAGGATCATTGTATATTCTGGTAATAAAAACATTATAGTTCCAAAATTTGTATATCCTTTTGCCTTGGAATTCTCTATTTTGAAGTCATTATAAATAATGTTATAAATTTTTTCAGATGTTTACTTTTGCAATAACATTTTGGAGGTCCAATAATAGTTCAGCGAAGTTTTCTGAGACTGTTAGTGATGATTTAGGTAGTTGAAAGACTTGGGAAAATTGGGAAAAAAATAATTCACTTCCTTAAATTACATCTGGATGTAATCTGGATATATTTTGAAAATCTGGATGTACTTTGAAGAGCTTAAAACTTGTTTACAGAAAGAAAGAAGTATTACGATGTGTACAGTTTTGCTCCGAAAAGAACAATTTTCAGTTCGCTCTCAAGAGCTGCTTGATAAAGGTATTTCTCAAGTTTTGCACTCAAATACTTAAACTTCAGTTTTCCTTTATCTGTAGACATGAACATGTGAGTAATAGAAGTAATGTTCAGAGGGGAAAGCATGTGAAAGTAATTTTTTAGAATTTAGAATATTTGGAACTTTGAATTCATTTCAGTCCGTGGTCATTTTGAAAATCTACAATGATTAAACATTTTCTACTTAAATAAGTTTCCATTTTGTGACTAGATATTTCAGCCCAAAGCTGTCTGTTTATTTTAGAATTTTGTGATTTGGGCATCTGTACAAAAAGACTTTGCTTTTAAATAATAGCTTTAAGTTTTACACTTGTGACAAACTGTATGTTAGCAATTACAGGTTTGGGGCCGTCTTTAAAAAGGAAATAGAATGGTAAAATTATATAAAATTTAATTTGATCAATACTTTGGTTAATTTGGAACTATGATTCATACTTTCTGTGTTTTGAACCTGAAGCTCTGCCTGCTAAAATGCATATAAAGTGAATGACTTGGCTTTTCTCTTGTACAGTCTAGGATGACTGGAATAACTAATAAGTATTTCTTATAAGAACATAGAGTTGTGATGAAGGCTGCCAAGATTCAAGTTTTTTATTACGATCCCAGGAAAATGCTTGTAAGCATATAGTGGTAAATAGGTTTGGTTCTAATCCCAGTCAGCTTAATGCTTCAGAGCTCTTAAGTACTTGAACAGTGCTGTCTAATAGAAATCAATATGAGAAATCAATGTCATTTTGTGTTTTCTAATAGGCACATTTGAAAAATAAAAAGAAACAGATGAAATTCTTTTAAATTACATATTTTTATTTAATGCAGTGTATGTTACCATTTCAACATGTAATACATTAAAAAAGTTATGTAGGAGTTTTTTAAAGGGTTATTGCTACTTAGTGTTCAAAGTCAGCGTGTACTTCACACTTACAACACAACTCAATTTAGACTAACCCATTTCAAGCTTTCAGTAACCACATTTGAGTAGTGGTTACTGTACTAGTGTAGTTTCTGGAACTAGTTCTTAAAACTGTGAATATGGGAACCTAATTTTTTAAAAACAAAAAGAGGGAAAAGAAGTACCTTGTTTGGCCTAGTTTATTTTACTCAGGCTGTATTTCTGACCATTCTAAAAATTATCTTACATTGTGTTCTGCCATCTCGTTATAGTATGTAACATTCTTCTAATGATACTAATAAAATTGCCCAAGACACATGCTGACCATCCTCATCAGTCTATCAAAATGTGTATTTCCTTCACTTAAGTAAATGTTTAAGACTAAGTAAATGTTTAAGACATTCCAGTGTCTTAAACTCCCCCAACCCCCACCCCGGACATCTTGTCTAACTGAACTCTGAGAAGTCTAAAGGACTAAAAAGAGACCCTTTTAATTCTTCATTGAGTTCCGTACACACAAAGAGAATCACTTTTGTATTTGATTTTCACTTTTAAACCCCAGCAATAACATTTTCAAATGCAGGGAGCACTGTCTGTTTTGGGGCTGGGTAAAGAGCCCAAGGTCTTGAACCTTACACCACCACTACCACCATCCCTTCCCACAGATTACCTTTTAACTAGACTTGGAGAATTAATGGTCTTCTGTTCTACACCCTAACTTCTCCCAAGACAGCGTACTTGTAGACCTCTTTGTTTCTTGAAATGGGTATCCCCTAGTCAGCTACTGTAGTTTAAATAGGTGGACTCTTAGTTTAGATGAAGTTAGTGCCATCATCAGTGATATATATTTTGTCTTGATAGTCCTTCTAGAAGTTCAGATTGTTTGCCAGATGTTAGACTTTATAAAGATAACTGAGTTTTTTACCTTGGTGTGCAAATGTGTTTGTTGTATTTTAAGCACCAGTTCCTAAAAGACCATTTCTGTAAGAAAAATGATGTAGCTCTAAGGGAAGAGATGTCTTCTGTGTCCAGCGGTACTCTTGCCTTCTAAGATCAGTCCACCACATCTTGCCTTGATTTCTAAGATTACATTCTTGGGTGGAAAGCTTAGCGAGGCAGTAGTTTCCAAATGTCCTTTATAACCACTCTGCTGATTATATGCAAAGTTTTTTATATCTTGTTTATTTTTTTTCTTTTGAGCACTTTATGCTTTTTAGTCTGTTGCATTTGAGAGTGGTTTAGAAATTTTTTCTCTTCTAAAAGCCATGTAAAAACTGATAAAGGATAATCACTAGAAAAATGAGTATGTGTTATTTTGTATTTAACTTATTTGTTTTGTGGTATGTATAAGCAAGATATTAGAAATGTACTGCATTTTTGTAATAATACTTTTTGACCTTAATTTAACATGATTTGTCATGAAATGTCTCTGATGTCCTATTTTCCCAATAAGGTTGATTAGGGTGTTTTATTCTAATATGGAAGGAATTCAGCCAGCTTTGTTTCTGTCATGAGATAATAATCTCAGAAAGTAATGTGCTTTATCTATATTACTGCCTGTTTTCAGTATTTGAGACAATACAGTAGCTTTATATTTCTACTGAGCTTAGCAAAAGATTGGCAAAGGCCTCAAAAAATGAGTACTTTTTTAAAGATATTTTAATAGCCTATTGAAAATAATGGTTCCGTGAAAAGTAAACAGCCTCATCTTTTCAGACACATACAAATTTTTTAAAAATTTATTTTAATTGGAGGCTAATTACTTTACAATATTGTGGTGGGTTTTGCCATACACTGACATGAATCAGCCATGGGTGCATACGCGTTCCCCATCCTGAACCCCCCTCCCACCTCCCTCCCCATCCCATCCCTCAGGGTCATCCCAGTGCATCAGCCCCGAACACCCTGTCTCATGCATCGAACCTGGACTGGCGATCTATTTCACATATGGTAATATACATGTTCAGTGCTATTCTCTCAAATCATCCCACCCTTGCCTTCTCCCACAGAGTCCAAAAAGTCTGTTCTTTACATCTGTGTCTCTTTTGCTGTCTCGCATATAGGGTCATTGTTACCATATTTCTAAATTCCATATATATGTGTTAATATACTGTTTTGGTGTTTTTCTTACTTTCCTCTGTATGATAGGCTCCAGTTTCATCCATCTCATTAGAACTGATTCAAATGTATTCTCTTTAATAGCTGAGTAATACTGCATTGTGTATATGCACCACAGCTTTCTTATCCATTCGTCTGCTAATGGGCATCTAGGTTGCTTCCATGCCCTGGCTGTTGTAAACAGTGCTGCGATGAACACGGGTGCACGTCAGACACACATAAATTTTCAGTGATTCCCACTTCCAAAAAGTTTAAATGCATTATCTGTCTTGTGTCTTCTGTGGGTGTGGGCTCATAACTTGGCATTGTATCAGAAGGAGTACCAGGCACTGATCTGACTTCTTTGAATGTTATTTTGTGAAATGAGGGTTTGATTTATTAATACTGGGGAATGACTGGATGATCATCAGGATCCTGAGAAAGATAGTTGCTCCATTCATGGAAGCATTTGAGATGACAGCATTTGAGATTGTTCAGCTATGTGGTGTCATGTTTTATAAAGTTCATTTTATTTGTATATGTTAAGAGATACTAGCTTTTGGATTCTCACCAATAGAATGGTATTAGTTATTTTCTTATAATATGTTTTGTTATTGCCTGTAATGGCCAAGTAATAGATATACCTTAATGTACTATCAAGGGTTTATATATATATATATGTTTATATTTATATATATATATATATAAACATGTGTGTATGTGCTTTAATCTGTAAAGCTATCTGGGATTTTATTGTGCTATAACTTCAAAATTATATGGGCATTATTAGAACTTTTATATTGTAGAAAAAGAAACATACCACTAAATGTATGGATGTTTGAATGTTAGATACATTTGGGATTTTCTTTAGTAATCCTTTTCTTTAGTGTCAACCCCATGGACTATAGTCCACTGGGCTCCTGTCTGTCCATGGGATTCATACTGGAGTGGGTTGTTATTCCCTTTTCCAGAGCATCTTCCCAACCCAGGGATCAAACCCAAGTCTCCTACATTGTAGGCAGATTCTTTACCATCTGAGCCACCAGATTTTTCATCATTGTGAGTAGATACAGATGTGGGATAAACCCCTCCTAGAATTATTTATTGCTTTTATCAAACACAATTCATAGTGGGATTTATAAAGCAATGTTAATTACCTGTGAGTTGAAATATCATGGATTATAGTTATCTACATCAAATATGATAAAGACCTAAAATAACCTTTATCTTTTAGATTACCTGAGAATAATCTGATTGGACATGTATCTGACATTTCCAGCTTAATAAATGTAGCAGTGAGTAGATTTTGGGACTTTAGGTACTACAGTTGGTACTGAATGATGTGTTTGAGAGGAAGTAAATTTTTTTTCCCTTAAGAAAACCCCCTAAGTCTTAACATTCTGGCTCTTTCTGTAGTCAAGAGGTTATCTCTCTTTTTAGATTGTCAGTCTTTTTTTGCTGTAGCTGCCAGTAATTCTCTGTTTAAAGAACTAATGAGGAATATATTTTTTCAAAGGAGTGAATAAAGTTAAAATTCAAGATTTTGAATTGTATAAATATGCAACTAAGTTTCAAGATATTGCTTTTTTTTCTATTTCTTAACATCTTTCATACATCGCAGTGCTTACAGTTTTCTATAGCTTTCAAAGAAAACATTTCAGTTTTGTATAATTTGTGGAGTGTACTCAGTAATAAAGATCATCTGAGATTATTTTAGCTATCTGAATCATGGATCTCATACCTAGCAAAGTAGGTAGTCAGCACAGGTATTAAGCCATTTTGAAATCTGCCACTTTTTTCTGAGGTGCCCTTTTTAGTTTACATTTAGAAGCAAAAGATAACTATATAGACCTAACATCAATATTCTGGTCTCCTTGTCCCAAATATAATTAATGGAATATGGATGTAAGTCAGGTTAAGATGTCTTGTCATTTTTTAAAAATACATTGTGTGCTCTGACTTTTTATTTGAACTAAAGTGAAGTGATATAGTGATTTGACTTTAACTGAAGTTGAATGGCATTTGTCTTAATTCTGTCCACTTACAGAGTCAAATCATACCTAGAATATGTTTAATTTTACTTATACAAGCCATTTCCATCTCAGTTGCCTTATTCTCTCTGTTGCATTGTTCTTGCCAAGTCTAACTTCTGTTATGTTGAAATTACTCTTAACACTGAACCTGTGATGTAAAAATGTATGATGTGCTATAAATTTTATTCATAATAAACTAAGTTATAGCCTATTGTAACCTATAAAACATTTCTTGTAAATCATCTAATTTATTTTTTCATTTATGTACAGTTTCTTATGTAAGTTTTTAAAATATTTGTTGTGATCTGTTCTATAAACATTCCCTTTTTCTTTTCCTTAAGTGTTATTTGCATGAAGGAAACTTGGGTTTTGCTTGTTGTATTAATTGGCCATTAAGCTAACTTAAGTACTGTCTACCTTCTTTTCTGTAGTTTAACTTTTTCTAGTTTTGCTCATATTCTAAATAAATGTTCAAATCATGCTTTTTATTTCCTACTTTGCAAATAAATTCTCTAAGTTATTTACCATGTTATCTTTTTGTTTCTTTATTTTAGGTATTTTGCTCCCACATTTCCACTTCCGTTAAATACAAGGTTTTAACTGAAATCCACTACAAAGGTCATCTGTAGTTGAAGGCTACATACATAGTTTTAAGTGTTTCATTCAAAATAAATTTATTCCAAGAGGGACAAAAAGGCCTTACGTTGGCTTTTATACGTATAACTGCATACATTTTGAAGGGAAGACATCTCTTTTCTGTTGACATGTTCTTTAATGTCTTGTGTGTTGAATATGGTTAGTTTTTCTGCACCTGAAAGTCTTGATAATCTCCTATGCAAAAAGCTTTATAAACTTTTAAAATATTGCTATGCTTCTGGTTATGGGAGTTTTTAAGTTTTGTTTTCTAAAATAAGCTTAGAAAACCTGACTCCTGTATTTTATCAATTTTAATAAAGAGTCCTGATCCCCTGTGTTTTCAGATTTCCTAGACCCCTCTTCAGGTTTTCAGGACAGCTGTTTAATACCTCAAAAAATTGATTTCAGTGAATTTGTAACTACTACTATTGATTTTTGTTTAGTTTTCGACCTCTTTTGTAATCAAAGTTTATTGAGGTATGGTTTTAAGTACAATAATATATATATGTGTGTGTATATATATATGTGTGTGTGTATATATATATATATATTTATTTATTTGGCTGTACCAACATGTGGGATCTTTAGTTGCAGCATGTGGGATCTGGTTCCCTGACCAGGGATTGCAACCAGGCCTCCCCCATTTAGAACGCGGAGTCTTAGCCACTGGACCACCAGGGAAGTTCCTGAAGTACAATAATACTTGATTGTACACTTAAGTGAACATGATAAGTTTATATACTCATGTAACCACCCCTCCAAGATATTTCCATCTCGCTCCAAAAAGTTCTCTTGTCCTCTGTCTTAGGCAGTCGCTTTCCCACCCCATCGCCTGGCAACCACTGATCTGCTTTGTTACTAGATTCGGTTTATTTTCTCTACAGTTGTCATGTAAGTGGGCTTGTACACTCTGTACCCTTTTTTTCATTTCCCAGTCCTCCATTCCTCCTACCTCCAAGGCTTTCTAGAGCTACTACAGACAGACTTCAGAGATATTTCAGATTCTTTCCAGGCAATTGCAACACAGCGAGTTACATGAGTTTTGTTTCCCCAGTGCAGTGTGCAATAATAGCATTATGTCAAAAAAATGTGCATACCTTAATTTTAGAATACTTTATTGCTGAAAAATGCTAACTATCATCATCTGTGTCTTCACTGAGTCATAATCCGATGGTGGAGGGTCTTGCTATGATGTTGATGGCTGCTGACTGATCAGTGTGGTGGTTGCTGAAGGTTAGGCTGTCTGTGGCAATTTCTTTTTCTTTTTTTTTTTTATTAGTTGGAGGCTAATTACTTTACATCATTACAGTAGTTTTTGTTATACATTGAAATGAATTAGCCATGGATTTACATGTATTCCCCATCCCAGTCCCCCCTCCCACCTCCCTCTCCACCCGATCCCTCTGGGTCTTCCCAGTGCACCAGGCCCGAGCACTTGTCTCATG